CCGAAGACCGGTCTGACCTAGTGCTATATCAGTCCGGATTCGGATCGGTTTTGGGTCAAAAATTCCACCCCCTCCCTTATTATATATCATTAATTTTATGCATGTTATTTAGTGATTTAATAATAATAATAAAAATTTCATTTCCTGTAATTCATTTTTGTTTGGGACATTTTGGAAAAGGCAAAAGGAGAGAGAAAAATTTTAAAAGAAGCAAAAATGGACAAAAATGCCCTTATTTATATTTAGATTTCCTAAGGAATCCAATACATTTGCATGTCTTTGATTTGAAAGTTGAATGGTTTTTTTGTCTTTTTTGAAAAAGCTTTGGCTTTTTCCAAAAGTGAAAATTTTTTTATGTCTAAAACCTAAAAAACTTGTTTGTTTTTAGTTTTGTGTAATGAGACGATTTATAGGAGTATATAATATAGGCAAATTGCGTGTAATGATTGAATTAATTTGTTAGTGTTGCACTTACCAAATCACAAGATGGATGAGAAATTACTCTACTTTGACAAAACTAAAGCGGATCTTCTTTTGGAATTCATGAATATTATTGGCGCTTCAACATAATACAGTACGAAAATACATACCTTTGCAACGGTTTATTCAAACACACCATTTTGTGATTTTACGTCATCGCTTTCTTCGAACCACTTCCACAAGCCAACTTGGTGTTTCATTAGAAAGTACAAGATATCCCACTGAGGTTCCAATTACCACCCCAAATGCATACCCCATCAACACTATCTTCCAATCACACTTCCATGCTCCAAATCATCTTCTTGTTGTAATGATGATGGCATTGATTGATATGGACTACATTTTTTTGCAACTGGAAATCCACACAATTCGACATTTCCACTATACTAATCATTTTCAAATGTATCAAATTGCTTGCCATGAGGCGTGGGTTCGATAAGTTAGTTTTCTGAAACGTTGAACTTTTCAAGTGATGTCTAATTTGCCAATTACGCCGGAATATTACCAATATGTCTATATGAAGAAAGATATAACCATTCAAGATTGCTCAAATCGCCAAACGAGGGTGGAATTGTACCTGTAAGCTCATTATGAGAAAAGTTAGGCACCTTCAATGACTTAAGCCTATCGATTACGTTTGGAATCTCTCATCTGAAAGTGTTGTTTGAGAAACCAATAGTTGTGAAGAAAGTCTGGATCTTCAGCATTTCAATTTCGAAGCCTTATAATTGCCACTACTATAGTGTCCTGATAATAGTAGTCTCCCATATATTTCAATTTATGTTCTTGTAATTTTATCATAGCCTTCAAATGTTTAAAATATTTGGTTGGCAAAGGATCACTAAATTGATTGTGGGAGAGATCCATGATACGCAATTTTTGGAATGGAAGCTTAGTTTTTGGATTGCCTATTTCATTGTGGAATTGGTTAGTCCTCAAGATAAGAACTTGCAACTTTGGAAGAAATTCCAGCCAATTTGGGAATGTGCCTTGAATTTTTTTATTTCCAAGGTCTAGAACTTCCAACTCTCTACATGTAAGAAAAGATAACGGTAACGGCCCTTCCAAATGATTTCCATTAAGATCAACATTTCCCATAGAAAATGTCTTAGGAATCATACCATGAAATTTATTATTCCGTAGATCCAAAATGGAAAGTCTCTGACTGAAGTTCCTTATGCATTAATGAATTTTACCAATCAAATTATTATTGGACAAATCAAGGATTTGAAGGATACTCAAGCTGCAAATGGCTGGAGGCATCTCTCTAGTGAATTGATTGTTTGATATGGAAAAGAAATATGTGGAAGGTGGTGGAATTAGAAGCTCTATTGTTGCGAAGGTTAAGATAATTGAATTTTTTCCAATGAAGATGTCCTACAGTGCCAGTCAAAAAGTTGTGAAAAAGATCCAAATTCGTCAATGAGGGGGAGTGTTAGCAAGGCTTGTTAGGGAAGTCTCTAACCTAGAAAACACAAATGGCTGACTTCTTGGGATTGTGTGTGTTGAAGAAGGTTGTATAACTATGTTGGGATTGAGATTGTATTTTGTGCAATTAATTTTGGACAAACTACAGTAAACCCCCCAATCTATAGGGTCATTTATGAGTTCATATCCGATTTTAGGGACATTTACTAGTACATACTCAATTTCACGGAAATCCTACAATTTGCCCCATATGTTAGCTAAACTGTTAGTCAATCTGTTAAATGCTGATGTGGCATTTGTGGGACCTATTTTTTAATTGATGTGGGGTTCCACGTGAACAAAAAATTAATAAAAAATTTACTTTTTAAATTATTTAAAAAAAATTAAACATATTAAATTAAAAATTAAAAATTAAAAATTAAAAATAAAAACCTTACCCAGATTCTCTCTCTCCTGATTTCTTCCCCATTCCTCCCAATTTCTATCCCCCAGATTTCTTCCCCCAACCTAGATTTCTACAAATGGACACAAGGGAAAGGAACAGGGAGTTTTGGTAAGAGGAGGAACAAGACCCACACCCAGGGGCGGAGTTGTGTTAAGGCCAAGGATGGCCTTGGCCCCAATTTATTTAACCCCTTTGAATGTATATATTGGATGTGGTATCAAATGCAAAGAAAAATTGCTATGCTTAAGCCTATGGCCCCCTCACCACAAATCAATACTTACCAAAATTGTATTTCAATATGAATATAAGTAAAATCATACTACATTTATGAAAGAAAACCACTCATTTCAATTTAGTGCTTTTGTAGGCAATAGTTTACTCAATAGGCCAAAAAAAAATCTACAACAAAACTTTTCGTGTTTAACATTTTGGCCCCCTCAAATATAAAATCCTAACTCTGCCCCTGCACACACCCTCTGCGTGAGGCGTGGATGTTGCAGCTTCCACTTGCAGAAGAGTCGCTGTTCAGCTTGTGCCTTCTCTACGAATTCTTCTTTGCAAGAGACATCCCTGGGTTTAGTGATTTCTTCGGCAGCCTTGCTGGGATCGCCAGATCGAATAATTCATCTTCTCTATTCAAGTGGGCCTCCAAAGACAACTCCAGAACATGCTTATCCCTAGTTAGCAGAAACGATCACCCGCACTTTAGCAGTCACTTCTGGCTTGTTGAAAAAATAATGTCCATTTGTGTTCTACATAGTTCTAGAAGAATCATAAATACAAGGATGGTTCTAGAGTTGTGGAGAACATACAATGTCGGCTAGACAAAGAGAATTGAAGTTGGAAGAACTTTCTAGAGTAAGAGCACTCATGTTGCTAGATTATGGCGGTGGAGCATGATGGCTAAACAATAGCCACAAAAATAATAATGTACAATATAGAATATTCTAGATGAAGCCACACACTTGTGGATGGAGAAAAAGAAACCAAGTCGGTGGACTTGGTGATGTCGGCAAAGGTGCCTATAAATAGGCATGCAGCTTACAAGTGTGGCGGAGTCAATAAAAAAGAACTCTCAAACTAATGGAGCTAAGAGCTACCCAAAGAAAGCAATGTTGAGAGCCAATAAGCTCACCAATCTAAGTGTAGGGTCAAATAGCCCAAAATGTTCTAAATCAAGTGTTGTGGTCAATAAGCCAATATGCTAAGGAGGCCAATTAGCCTACACCAAATCATGTACTATTCTCCTCAAATATAATAAATTCACTTTGTTTCCCCTCCAATCTAACAGTGGTATTAGAGTTGGTTCAATCGCATTGGGCGTCAGGGCAGACTCAAGTCTCTATCAGAGCTCGTTCGATCAATTATGGCTGCAAGGGCCGATTCTAAGGAAGCAAAGGAAGCAAGGTATGTGCTATCAATACTTAATTCAAGGTTTCAAGAAATCTTGAGAAGGGGAAGGAGATCTAGAGAAAGTTCTAGAGGAGGAGATAGTGAAAATAAAAGAGATGGCATGAGAGGAAAAACTTTCCTCCATGTGGGGTGTGCAAAGAGTTAAGACACCCAGAAAAAGAAAAAAAAAGGAAAAAGAAGCCCGAATGTTGAAACTAAAAAATTGGGCATTGAGAAGAATAAAAATTGCCGACAAAGAACTATCAAGCTAATTACAAACGAAGAAAGAGCCACACGAGCACGGAACTACAACATCAACTAGATGTTTGTCAATGCTAGCTTCATGAGGTGCATGTTTGGAGAAACACAAATGCACATTAAGGAGTAGTGTTGAAAAATAATGTCCATTTGTGTTCTACATAGTTCTAGAAGAATTGTGAATACAAGGAAAAAGAACTCCCAAACTAATGGAGTCAAGAGCTACCCAAAGAAAGCAATGTTGAGAGCCAATAAGGCCGAAATAGCCCAAACTATTCTAAATCAAGTGTTGTGGTCAATAAGCCAATATGCTAAGGAGGCTTATTAGCCTACACCAAATCATGTACTATTCTCCTCAAATATAATAAATTCACTTTGTTTCCCCTTCAATCTTACAGGTCAAGCTTCAGTTATGCAATATACTCTCCTATCTCTCGAATATCTGGACGAGAAACAATTCGCTTGTCCACATCCCTACAGATGAATGAAAGGGCAGAGAACGGAGGGCATCTCCTTCTCCAATAAAGCCATAGATAAATAAAGATCAAAGCTAACAGAAAAGCAGTAAGAAGCATGCAGTCAAATGGATTGAAATCAATAATATTCTGCAAATTTCTACGCAGCCACATGGATGAATCGGTCTCTCCCTGTTGGCTCTGAAGAGTCAATAGTGGTATACCTTTGAGGCAGTCACATGTATGTCTTCAAACCACTTTTATTAGCTACATAATCTATCTCTATTGGTCATAATATGAATCTGGTAGAAAATTTGTTGATGTGCTTTGATTTTTGTTGGGATTTTTGAATACCCAGAAAATGAAATTTTCATTTTGACGATGATTTTCCAGGAAAATGTTTCCTTTCTATGATTTTTTCTTCTGGGTTTTTTTAAATGGCTTTTTGTTGTATTTTGTCGGTATTAAAAAAAGTAGACAACTGGATGTTAAGGCCATCCGAAGGAAGACCACTGGAACTGGAAGGATGAGGTATTTGCTCAATGTTCCTCGCAGATTCAAGAGTGGCTTCAGAGAAGAGGAAGCTAAAGAAGAAGGAAGTGAATCGGATCACCCTGTTGCTGTTGGTGAAGAAAGCGGGAACAAGGGGAAGAAATCTGGGGAGGGGGAAGAAATATGGGATTGAAGAAATTGGGTGGGGGAAGAAATCTGGGTGGGGGGAAGAAATTGGGAGGAAGGGTGAATAATCGGAAGAGAGCGAATTTGGGTAAGGTTTTTATATAGAGTTTTTTTATTTAAACCTCGTACTTTTCTTTATTCACCCAAATACTTAAATCATTAAGCTCTTAAGTTTTATTATTGAGTTAAAAGACAAAAAAGGTCATCCACTTATTATTGTGTTTAAACCCTATGCTTTTCTTTGGTTGCTGATTGCTCAAATTAAGAACATAATTTACTGCTATCAACAACAAAAAAACAAAAACCACTGCTTGCAAAGTCCAGGCAATCATCGAGCTCTCGCATGATTGCTCTTCATTTGTCATTCATGAAGACATAAAGATAACCACTTGTAATTCTATCGCCATTATCTTCTTGACACTGAGTAATCTTTTTATTTGTCTTTTTTGAATTTATAATTGTTTCCCCGATGTTACTGTTATCTGGGTTATTTATTATTCTTTTTTGGTATTTATTTGAAAGGATCCTCAGTAGTTGGTTCAGTATTTCTTCAAGTTTTGGTTACATTTTCCTTTTCTTTGGGGTTCTTATCATCTGGGTTCTTGGTGATTGTTAATTGTATTTGTGCAAATGGGTTTTTAGAGGTGACATTAAGTATTTTTTTATTTTTTCTTGTTGCATTAGTTTTTATTTTATTTATGTTCTTAAGGATTCTAGTAATTACTAACTTAGGTGCTTAAATTCATAGTGTTAATTATGCACTTTGTTTTCATTTGGTTATGGACAACTAAGATAAAACTTTGGTGGCTTGAGCCTAGTGTGGCTGTGGAAATTGATGGAACCCCAAGAAAAAAAATGAGAAGAGTCGTTTCAGAAGAGATGGACCAACAAAAGACCGAGGTGCCTAGAACTCCTGCCGCACCAAACACTCGGAGAAGGGCTCTGATTGCTTCTGCTCGACATAACACCACACAGAAGGAGAAAGTTGGGTGTGGGATGTGAGGTTAATGAGTTTTTTTTAATTATTTTTTTCTCATGGGTGTGTATTTATGGGTAGTTTAGGAAGACAGTGGGGTTTACTTAGAAATTATGAAAATTTTGAATTAGAAGTTGGGGTGAACTTAGAATATGAGGTGAACAAAGAGAAGTGCGGGGTTTAAATAGAAAAAATCTTTTATTTATTTTTTAAAATTTTAATTTAATTTATTTAATTTTTTAAAAATAATTAAAAAAAATAAAATTTTTATTATTTTTTTGTCCACGTGGAACCCCAGGTTTATTAAAAAATAGGTTCTACAAATGTCACATCAGTATTTAACAGATTTACTAACAGTGTAGCTAACGGAGGGGGAAATTGTAAGGTTTCCGCGACGTTGAGTATGTACTGGTAAATATCCCCAAAATCGAGTATGAACTCATAAATGACCCTATAAGTTGGGGAGTTTTCTGTAGTTTGTCAATTAATTTTTGGTTCACATACCTTTATCATTTTGCAAGTAGAATTGTACAGATAGTGGATTCGTATTAATCATTCTTCTAAGCAAAAGCAAGAATCTCGTTTGCAGTTGAGTTGCTTGAAGTGTTTGTAAGGGTAATATTTTGGCTGCATTAGCACAAAAACAACCAGAGCCAAAAGGAATGAAAAAGATAAACCAATATTGTATTGGTGTAAGTAAGAGAAAAGCTTCTGAAGAGAGACACATGGCTTTTTGTACGACCTAGCAAGCTCCACTTATGTTCTTGTATGGACGAGTGAAAGATGTTATTGAGTTAAATAAAGGGAGATTCACTATTATACTCAATATAGGGGCCCAAATTAAAAAATTACCCTATATGAAATGGATTTTAGAAACACACTCAAAGTCCATTTACAACATAACAAAGAGGCTTTTAACTTCTTATAAATTACAAAATTGCCATAAATTTCTTAAAACAAGCCCAACCCCAAACCTTATAAAAAACCCAAAACACTCAATAGGGCATCAAAGTAACTTAATAATTAAAATTAAATTAAATAGAGCCAGCTGTTATTTTTTGGGTTTGTTTATAGGGTTTATTTATATTTTATGTGCTAAGAATGAGTATATGACTAAATATCTCTTAAAGAATCTACTATTAAAAGTCTTATTTGAGATCTCAGTCTACCACAAAATTACATATGATTCGTAAGAATGTTCATTGGATTTTTGCTACAAGGGAACATGAGCTTTTGCTGATATGATACAAAAAATATCGTCAACAAAAGGATCAAAATTGGATTTAGGATTAAATTTTCAGTTGCCACGTGCCCATATTTATTATAACATACAAATCTCAAATTTCAAATAAGATTCTCGGTTGCCACGTGTCGATATTTATTATAAAATTGTAATCTCAAATTTCATATAAGATTTTTACCTTCTAAAATTGCGCCACGTGTCATCTCTATCTTCAAAATCCCTATATAAAACTACACCCTCAACTCAGACCTCTCATACCATACCTCTCTATCCTTTCATTTCTCATATTTTACAAAACACATTCTACTCTCAATGTCTAACCTGAGGAGGGTGTTAGAGAGGCAAGAGTGAGAAGATGAAGAAATCAGGCTCAGACGTGCTAAAGAAGATCGTGAGTTGGATGAAGAGGAGGATGAAGTTATTTTTAGCGGTGGGTATGCTCAATCAATCAAGGAAACACCACCATGGTCGTGTCCCGAATGTGGACAAACATAGGCACTCTATCTCTTGGAAGATTACTTTATCCCAAATTTGTTGTATTTTATTTCTTATTTTCGAGGAAGATATAGAATGCAGCCTCATTTTTAAAAAAAAAAAAAAAAAAAAAAAAAAAACATGCATGTTTGCAATTATGGCACATACTTTGTTCAAAAGTATGATGCTATTAGGGTTTTCTGTCTTCTTTCGGAGCAAAAACTTACAGCTTCTTTACGGATGCTCGCGTATAGGGCATCTGCAGACCAAGTGGATGAGATTGCTAGGATGAGTAAATCAACTATCCTAAAGTGCTTGGTCAAATTTTGTAATGCAATAGAAACTCTCTACACGAAGGATTACCTCCACAAACCTACGCTTAGGGACCTCTAAAGGCTTCTACAAAAAGTTGAGGCTCGAGGTTTCCCAGGCATGATTGGAAGCATCGATTACATGCACTGGCAGTGGAAGAATTACCCAACTGCTTGGCAAGGAGATTATGGGAATAGGAAGGACAAAAAAAGTATCATTCTGGAGGTCGTTGCATCATTTAATACTTGGGTTTGGCATGCCTTTTTCGGAGTTGCGGGATCTCAAAACGACAGTAACGTACTTGGCCAATCCCCAGAATTCAACGATGTGTTGAGAGGTCATTCCCCCCATATCATGTATCAAATCAACAATACCATATACTCGGGTTGGTACTATCTAGCTAACGAAATTTATCCGAGGTGGAAGACATTCGTCAAAACAATTCCAAATCCTTAATTGGAAAAAAGCTTTGCTGCCTTTCAAGAGGGTTATAGGAAAGATGCGGAAATTATTAGGGGTGCTGCTTGTATGTTTGATGAAGATATGCTAGAAAGCATTATGATGACTTACATCGTCCTCCATTACATGATTGTGGAAGATGAGTATGATTATGATGCCCTTGAGATGTTAGAACCCGATCCCATGTACATGACATTAACAAGAATTTATGAACGGCCCGTGGGAGCAAATGGACAACCACTGGAGCATGAACTGTTGATTAGGGACGATTGTTACAACAACCATATGATTGACCATTATATGGAAATCCTATCTTTTTATGTTCACGAGAGACGTCAAGTTGACTTGATCGAACACTTATGGGTGATGAAAGGCAATCACTGTGGATGAAGTCAAGTTTAATGCTTTGTTTGGAATTACGCTTTGTTTTTAATAATGGTTTGTTTTAAATTATGCTATATTTTTAATTATGCTTTGTTTTGTGTGTAGTTTGTAATGAATTAAGGTTTGTTTTGATGTATGAAATGTTTAATAAATAGCTATATTATTTAATCCTTTCTTTATTCAATAAAAGAGAAACAATACAACAAATTAATACATATGGCAACTTTTTCAATACAACCTAATGGTTTTGATCATTTAACCAATTCGTGTTGCTAGGTCCATCATCATGGAAACGTTTTCTTCTCATAACATCCCTTCTTTTAGCTTCTAATAGGACTTTGTTTCAGAAGACATATGGCTCGTATCCACGACCATAATTTTCATCTCTTTGTCCTCTATGTCTTGTTGCTGTGCCTATTGCCTTTCTGTTGCATATGCTTCATATCGTGCCTTGTTAGCTTTATCTCTTTTCAAGTCTTTGTCAATTCTTAGTGCGCCGTGGATAGCAATTTGCTCCAAAAAATTTGCACATTCAGTGTTCGAAGTGCTCCCTCTCTTGGCCTTTGCCGCCTTTCTCCCAATAAGCCTCAACTGACGTTGGATTGGTGAATCTTGATCCATTGTGGAGTCCAATGGCGAATCTAATGCTTGTGAACCGTGGAGTGGTGTCTCATTCAACACAACCTGACAGGATCCGCCTCGGATTTCCTCGAAAACCGGGACGAATCTCGCCTTAATACCGACATCACCCCGATGCCGGGCCCACTTACTAAGAATCAAGACTTTCTACCAAAATTTTGGCAAAGTCTCCCCTGTAAATTGAACATTTCCCAAACTTCAACATGCTCAAAATTCACAGTTTAACAATCCCAACCAGCAGCATACTTTAAAGCAAATAAACAGTTTACAACAAAGGCCTCCGGCCTCACAAATCACACCCTACGCGGGCGATAACAGAGCATGTCTAAGAATTTCAGTTACAACAAGAACAAAGTTCAACAGAAATGAAATGATGAAAGAGTTTCTACAAAGGCTCAAGATTCGGAAGCACACGATTCGGCTCAGCTGCGCAGCTCAGTCAACTACTTGTTGGGGGGCGTAAAATAGAAAATTGTGAGTGGACAAAAATAAAGTTCAGTTCAGTGTAAACCAACATAATATAACCCCGCCGTTAGAAAACCATGCAAGAAATCCAAATGCATCCCAAAACCATCATAATAAAGTATATATATATCACATCAAAACAATACCGGATGCCAAGTTCGAAATCCATAAGTAACGCTTCACAAACCCACCATTCAAAACTTATAAATCCCACAGCTAAACTCTCGAAAGCGTACCCATTGGCACGACCGGCGAGGAAGTATCCTCACTGAGAAACAAGAACGAATGAGTAGTTATGTATATACATACATAATAATATATAATATACTAATATATATATATAATATAATATAACCAACACCTAGTTATACCAGGGAAACAATCCAACCGGGGGATTGTTTGACTAATCCAACCGGGGGATTGTTTGACTAGTCTACATGGCAGAGTCTACATAGCAAAAATTCCTCAATTCATCATGTGGCTAGGGAATGATCGTCCAACTGGGGGACTAACTCTCAGCCAGCACGTACAGCCGAGACACTTAAAGCTCGTACGTCTGTGACCAATCCTATGCCCGCAGACTACCCAATCAAGGGTCTACAGCAACATCCCGTCAAGGATGCCCCAGGTTCCGACAATTCCAAATATCTCAAGTTTCCGTATCCATGTTCCAAAATCGGGGGAGGTACATAGGGTAGTGCTTAAAGCACTCCAAACTGACATTCTATGCTCAAACCTTTCCACAATCTCAACTCAACAATCCAAGTACCCTACACATAGACAATATAGATAAAAATTCTCACAATCCATATATACATACTCAAGATACTCAAATATGTCAAAACCCAAAATATAATGCCAAAGCTTTATAAGAACATCAAATTTGACAATCACATATATAATATATCCAATATACCACTTAAAACAATATGCAATATTTTTCCATCAATAAAACCATGCTTAAGATTTGAAAACAAAGTCCACTCACAAGTAGTCCCACACTGCTTGACCCTAAGAGGGTCTCGCCTGCTGCATATGCGTGGTTGGAGTACCTATTCCAGAATACGAATACGAGATTAACACAAAGCGTTTCGAAAGAGAATTTTAAATTAAAATCCTAGTTTCCCGGGTTTCTAAAGAGTGTACGAGGAACGAGACAAATTGAAAGTTCCTAAGGGTTCCACAAGGTTTAGGATACGCGTCCTGCAAGTTTGGTCCGAAACGGACGGTTAGATCGCTCACGATCGGACGGTTATCACAAAACGCAAACTTTAAGTTATTGAATCAGAACATCCGGGGCTCCGATTCACGATCCGCGAATTCCTACACGATCCTAGGAAGGTCTAGAGTAACATACATTGGAATGGAGTCGATCCAATGGTCTGAACATATCGAACCCGGATAACGCACAATATGTGGTATCCGATCGACGATCAAACGATAACCAAATTGAAATTCGAGAATACCATTACACTCGGAACATCACAAGGATCATTTTAGAACAAAATGGCAGACCGGCATTGTTCCCACGCTCCACCCCACGCGCCGGTAGCGTATGGGTGCCCAAAGAGATTTTCGGCGGCCGGAAAAACTCCAAACCGCCAGCCAATACTTCCAGGTTAGGTAAATCACATGCAATGAAGCAACTTTTGTTCTTGGACCTACCCAAAAATTCGATGGAAGTGGCCGGAATCGGAGGCCGAAACCGGCCAATACTTACATCGCTTAGAAACGTTTCAGAACTCAGAAATTGATCCTAAATACCACAACCAGCAGCTAGAGCATGTTGAAAGGATAGAAATGCATACCAAGTTCTACAGAAATGGTGGCCGGAAGTGTGAGAACGAGCGGCCGAAAGTTCGTTGAAAAACTGTCCAAAACCGCTCCGAAACGAGCCCACTATGTGTCTACGAACTCATCTCAATACAATCTATCAAAAAATACCAGTCATTGCCCCAAACTCTCTCCGGATAAGAAAATGTCCGAAATACCCCTACCCCAAGGGTAATTTCATAAATTCACAATTAATAGAATTAAATACTTCGAATAAGGAAATTAATTTGGAGTCGGGGTGTTACACAACCTACGGACCCGTGGAAATAATTTTGAATCTTGAACAATTCTTCACAATGTCCCAACATTGGTTATTGATGAAACTTTTTTTGCCTTGGCCAATGGTGACAAGACTCGCCCTGAATTCCTCGAAACCCGGGATGAATCCTATGGTATTTCTGACATCATATTGATAACGGGCCCACTTACTAAAGAAACGAGACTTTCTGTTGTAATTTTGGCAGAGTCTCTCTTAAAAAATGGACATTCTCAAAATTTTTAAACCTGTCAACAGTATTTTTAAATCTCAACCGGCAGCATGCACAAGATAACAACATGCAATTAACATCAATGGCCTCCAGCCTCATAACCAAACATTTTCTAAAACATTCTAGCTTTTGAACTCATTGTAAGTCCATACAATCGTAACACTTAATGAAACAGTACTTAGAGAAGACCTTTCTTATGCCAAAATTCAATTCCCCACATAAAACAATACAAGCACATTTCAAACAATTTATTTTGCAGCTGCACCTAGGTTAAACCCCAGGTTACCTACATACCCTTTTGTGAGGGATCAAGCCATACATAGTTCTAAGTCAACACTCAACATTCAGATAATATACAATTATTTAAAGTAAAGACAACGATTAAATTTAGATTCAAATATCAACATCAAGTTCGACAAGGCATCCACTGAATACTTTATAAGTTCTTTTCCTTTTATCAGTTCATTCTCGCAATCATACCCTGTCCAAGGCGTATGTTGCCGAACAACACTTTCCAAACTACAAATCAGATGTTCATACCTGTGCATAGTACTCACGAAACACCCGTTCAAGAATCACGACCGGAAAACATATCCATATATATATATGTATATATCTCAATACACACACATATGTATGTATGTACATATGTATATATATATATATATCTCAGTCCACACACCCCACACCATCAACATGTATCAGGGGAAGAACAATCCAATCTGGGGATCGTTTGACTAGACCACATGGAGGAATCCTCAACAACTATGTGGCTAGGGAAGAGCGGTCCAACCAGGGGATTGGGTCATTAGCACGCACACCAGAATCCTCAATACTTGTGCGCCTGTGACAAGTCCAACGCACGCAAAGTACCAGCTATCCATTTCCATGTATCCTAGTATCCATGTCCACTGTTTCCAAGTATTAGTATTCAAGGGGAGCTACATATGATAGTACACATCATGTACCAAGGAAAACAATCCAACGAGGGAATCGTTTTGCTGAACTACACGGAGGAATCCTCAACAACCATGTGGCTAGGGATGACCCGTCCAACTGGGGGATTAGGCTCACCATCACGCACAGCAGAATATTCGTGCACCTGTGACAAGTCTTAAACATGCAGACTACCTTGCTAAGAGTCTACGATAACACCCGTCAAGGGTGCCCGGGTTCCGACATACCCAAACCATATCCACAGTTTTCCAAGGAAGCCCACACATAGGAAAATCCAACGCCAAGTGTAGGTATCGTGACCAGGGAATGTACATATGATGGTGAGGTTTATAACCCTTATATAAATATTATAAAAATAATATTCCATTCCTTGATTCAATTTTCCCCAAATATTTATTCATAGTATAGAAAGTAAACTCTCAAGCACATATTCCATAAAGACCCACAAATAATTCAAATAGTAATCAAAGGGAACTGATTTTCCCACTTCCATTTTATCCACTTATACTCCCTTTTAAAAAAAATATTTTTTAATTACTTTTGTTCTCTTTTGTTCGTTATCTTTCCTATTCTACCTTTATCTTACTTCACTTTTATATTATTATTTTTCCTACTTGCACTTCATTTTTAATATTATTTTTTCAATGGATAGATGAATTCTTTAAAATTAATTTTTTACAAAACAAGGCAAAAATATTTTCCCCAGCCCCAACAACCCCCCTCTCTTTGTCAAACCCCTCCTCCTCCCATCACTACACTTAGGCCCACCACCCCACTACCACCCAATCCACCACTGCACTGCCCTCTAGCCCCAACAACATCAATGGCTCACTCTCCCTCGACTCCTTTTCTCAACCCCTCTCTCTGCAAATTAAAAAACCAAAATTTTTTTTTCATCTCCAAAGCCAACTTTCTCTTTTTTTATCTCCAAAAGCAACATCAGTGAAAATCATGTTTTATTCCCACCAAATTCTCAAAAGTCTCTGACTTGTTGTCCTTCCTTGTAACATTTTTGCTAAGTGATAACAAAGGGAAATTTCTAATGCTCGGGTCTGAAGTTTTTCGCTTCAATTAAGAAGCTTTACACTCTGTGATTCAGCTCAACCAATTAAAGCTTTCTCAACCCACCCCCATGCCCCACCCCACATAGCCACCCACCTACCAATAGCCATCGCTGCCCCAACGTAGCCAGCCACAAACGACCTTATCGCCCCACCAATAGCCACACTCAAACCCAAA